TTAAACTCAAGAAAATGTATTAAATTTTAATCAAATTTAGTTTAGTGCACTTTATTAAGTTATATACATTAAGGCTTTTACTTAAAAACTAACTACAGAAATAGATTGATTTTGACGCACATAGAAGTTAAAAATAACAAAATGTTATTTGACTCAGGACATTTGGGTTATCACTGCTCTCTTTTTGATGTTTAAAGGTTAATAATAATAATTTCACTTATAATATTAACACTTATAATAATTTCATCATCACAAATAATTTTAGCGGTTTCGATATATAGCGCTAAAAGTAATGAGGATTGAATATCGATTTTTACTTCGAATCAAATTAAAAATATGTTTATGTTAATAATTAATATGAGCTATTATATATATTTAAACATGTTGGATTATTTAAAAATGGGTCAAATGATTATACGTTTGTGTTGTCATCTAAACTTGACTTTAGAACCATCTAATAGAAACTCACACGCTTATAAACATTGTAAAAAACACAAACATATTCCTTGAACATAAAAGAGAGTGGGCAATATCTCGTGGATATCGATCGGTGCTTCTCTTAACGTGTCCGAATTTCTTCGCGCGCGTACAACAAAGATCGAAGTCTCGACGTGCTCGTGATTTATTTCGTTGGACACTTTTCTGGGAAGAACGTGACTGGAAGTACGGGTTAGCCAATCCCTTAAATCACTGAAGCAGCACTGGAGAGTCGAAATCGGTATCTTGGCTGCTATATTCCGCGCACGATTGAGCCCGAATGGCGTTCCTACGATGCTCTATCATCGTACCTTTGTCTTGTGGCTGCAAACGATAGTCACCGCAAAGTTAAAACCCAATATCGTCCTCGAAAAGGAAACGAGACTCGAAATACGTGCGTGACTGTCAGAGAATATCGCGCGAAAATGTTTTCTCATGCATTACCTCGACATTCCATAAAAGGTTAAAGGAATTTTCTATTTGGAGAAGAAAAAATAATATTGAAATATATTTTATTCTGTATAAAAATAATCATAGCTGCCAATTGATGAATTTTCTTTTTAGTCCTTGTTACACGGCTGACATATTTCTGTGTAAAGATTTAATAACGATATAACTTTTCGTAATATTGCGCACCTAATACTAGCGACTTCTATAGGTATACCTCTCTTGCATAAAAGTGGAAGAAGATGCTAACGAGACGAAAAGATGAAACGGTTGGTCTTTACGGCGATGTAGTGGGAGGTAAACTAAGCCAGCGTGCTTTAACGACAACGTTCAAGATTTTAATACCTCGTTACGTAAAGTCCGATCTTTCAACTTTTTGCGATGCGACATCTTTAAGGAACTCTTTTGAGGCCCAAGGTTTCCTCGAAAAGCTTGGTAGGGCGATTCATCTTTACAGCGACGAGCTAAATTTCATTAGTTAATTACGTGCCAGAACTTCGCCAAGATTTTCTTCTTAGGATGCTGATCTTCTCTAGGCGACTCGTGTAACACGAGTCTGTATGCGCGATGACATTTCTACAGACGCGAATGTGAGTTATTCCAGGAAAACGAGTGTCCGATTTCAGAGATCTTTCCATGATTAAAGCCCTTCGTTTAGTTGGCGCGAGAGCTGTTCGTTTCGTTCCGAAACACAAACGCAAAAGTGATAATGACGGAACGGCGGGGATAAGTATTGATCGCGCTCTGCGGCTGGCCAGTAGTTACGGGCCGGTGCGGTCAAACAGCCGTAATAGAACCGGTCGTGGTTAGCCAGTAGTAAGAGCGTACCTGCGGTCAGACAGTTAGTATCAGGTCCCGCTGCGGTCTGATACGAGCAACTGTTCTACTTCGTCATACTATGCTTCTGTTTTGAAACTTTTGATGGTTGTATTGCCAGTGTTATTTTAGTCCGAAAATGCAAATATATATATATATATATACATACATATACACACACACACACACACACACACACACACACACACACACACACACACACACACATATACACATACACTCACACATACCTCTAATCCAATTATAAAATTTTAGATAGGGTACAATTTTTTTCTTTTATCTTTTGAATATAAACTCGTAGTATTTTTCTTATGTATATTTTTAACAAACATTAGACGGACTACATAAAAATTTATAATCGATGCATATTTAATACAATTCAAGAATATCAAATTACATATTAATTATTATTATTATTATGCCAAAATATAATGTCCGTAATAATAATATATGATAACAATATGAATGAGATGATTGAAAAGACAATATGGTACAGAAACTATGGAAGCAATTTCAAAGTTGTTTGTTGTACCTTTTCAAAGGAATGCAGGAATAAAGCTGATTAAACGCTTAAGGCTAAATTGATTAAAGGCATAATTATAATTTAAAAGTCACACAAATAAAATTCTCACCTTGAAGAAAAATTGTTCGTCATTTTTTTCATAAATAAATTAACTTTTTTAATTCGACTACAATTTTCTTTAGTCGTATCTCCTTAGACAAAATTTTGATATTCTATTATTTTCAAATCAATAATTAAAAACAAAAAAAAATATTAATGAGAGCTTCATATATGATTTTGTTATCTTAATAGAGTTGTGTGTGTGTGTGTGTGTTTTTGTCTGTGCGTAGTTATATGTACACTACATAACTGATGCAGATATATACATATCTTATTGCATAAAATAAGATATTCTAAAATCAGATAATTTTCATTGTTTGCATATAGACAAAGAGAGTCTGTAATTATTTGCAGACCTTTCTTCTGTGTATGTTTGAGAAAGCTTCAATGATGACATGAATAAAAGATATGAGAGGAGAAATTCGCGTAGAGTAGAAAGTTGCGCCGACGAAGACAAATTGCGTTACAGAATTCTTCAGAGGAAAAATATAAATGATTATACGCAAAGGATGAAGAAGAATGAAGCTGGAAATAGAGACGTTTGTAATGCACGGCGATTAATCTCTGTGTTTTTCAGATCGAAGACAGGTACCAGCTGTTAAAATATATTTACCTGTTGTTTATCAAATAATGTCGATTTGCGTACGTATATCGAAGAAATATTACCGATATAGTTGCCTTTGTTTATTTAATCGCATAATTGGTAGCGCGACTATATCAATGTCTTTAATATTCAAGTGTGATAACATAATATCGATGTTGCAATACGACGTACTTTATTCTGTATAACAGGAATGCAGGCGCACGTCGCTATGCTTGGAGAAACCAGTTAGAACAAACAAGAAGCTCCTAAGTATACAACCCTCATGCTATGTATTTCGAACCATTGCGTATATCAGAAACTTGCAAACCGTGGGTGCAGCAGAGAAACAATAAACTTTGTTAGTAAGTAGATATAAATGCGGAAGTGTGGTCCGTATGTTGACTTTTAAACGGAACTTGAGCATTGCTGTTAAAATAAAACTTTTATGAAATTGATCGTTTCGCGTTAAATAAGTTCGCATTGTTGCTATATATATCTATGCTAAAAATAAATATACACTAACTTATAATATAACTAGTTTCGCCACGAGATCTGTCCTGCGATCGACGTATGCGCGCTTTTTGCTTGATCTAGAGCCAAGGTAGAGGCAGGATACGCCTCCGACAACCTATGATCCTTGACACCTGGAAACGAGCCAAGCGCAGGTCCTCCGAGGGCGTCGAACTTATGCCGTCGGCAGGCTTCCAAAATTATAGCTCGACTGCGTCAGCAACTACGGTGTTTGTTTTCATCTCGATATCGCCACGATTCATATATACTTTTCTACGTTCTTCGCGTCGTCCTATTTTTTCAGTCTTGTCTGCTGTCTCGCGATGGCGAATAATTTCTCAGCAATTAATAAAACCATTTGTTTCGATGGAACGACTCGATAGGGCATCTCTCGATGCACGTCTCTTACGCGCGCATATCAAAAGTCGATATTTGTTTTACTAACTGACGAATATAACATCAGTTACTTTAATCTGCTCAAAGAAAACGACATCCCTCGGTTAGTTGCGGCGAAAAGGAAACGGTCGGAATGGTTTTCTAAAATCCGATTACTTCGGCCGACTTAAGCGGATTTTCGTGGAAACTACGTCACGTCCGCGTTTGAAATCCGTTGTGCTCATAAACAAAAAGATGACAGAATTCATCTTCCAACGTTTCTTTGTATCCGACAACAATGAAATTTGTTCCCTTTCTCAAGTAAGGATGATTTTGTGTAGATGCAGAGCGATCCTTTGATGCAGAAACGCTTTATAAAACACAGGCATTTTAATTTTTGCTTTGTTAATGGGTGACATTGTCTTATAGGATGCACACAAGTTGATAAATATACACGAAAGGAATGGTTTTTGCTGAACAACTCTACAGAGAAATATCTACTTAGATGGATGCGCACCAGAAAATAATTTTGCTGGATTATCAAAATAATTATGTTATATAAGACTGTTCAAACTAATAGCTAAAATATAAAAACTTTTTACAGCATTGCTCATCACATTTAAATTTCCTACATAATTATTTTGATAATCTAACAAAATTATTTTCAGATCTGACCTAGTCTAAATTTTTGAAGATTTTATTCTTCTTTTTAGAAGATTTTATTCATCTATATAGAATTTTTGAAGATTTTATTCATCTATAGAATTTTTTTTGTGTAACAGTATAATGATTTAATCTATGTTTATTTTATTCTGCAAAAATGTGAGAATTATTTTCATAGAAGTATATATATATATTTTTAATAAAAACGTCAGTCGTTATTTAAATTTCATATCTGTGCGACTTTTAAATAAATTTTAATTATTTGTGGAATGAATCCAGCGCTACATTTTCTTTTTTAGTTTAATTTATTTAACTAATAGAATCATTATCTATTATTTGTGATCTGTCTTTCTGTAATTCCCAATTTAGTTAAAATTTGCACCGCGAAATTTTCTTACATTGATCCGGATATTTTTAAATAGATCCGATATCACAGTGGTTCGTCAATATCATATTTAATACAGATTCTATTCCAATTAATTTTAGGTTGAACTACTTGATGGCGGGATTGAGTCCCATGTGGTATCACGCCACGAACGTCGCCTTACACGCCGCTGCGTGCATCTTAGTCACCAGAGTGAGTCTCGTGGTAGCTGCACTTCGACCGGGATTCGCAGCGCTCACCGGGCTGTTATTCGCCGCACATCCTGTACACACGGAAGCGGTAAGTGACAATTTCGAGATGTCCCGAAAAAAATGAAAGCATTTTACCGAATATAAATCTTTTAAGCGAAATAGATTGTTATCCACAAACCCTTTAATCATTCGTTGTCTAGTAATTTTGTTTGTTTACCGTTAGCTACTATTCAATAGCATATTCGCGAACATGTACTTATGCGTTGCGCGATTCACAGCACAATGACAAATTTATCCTAAACCAAACAAAACAACAAGATTAGTAGAGTCCACTCGCCACGTAACCGCTTGAATCTGCGTGCGCGAATAGAGTCTGGCTGATCCGCTTTTCCTAAGTGCATAAACGTAATTAGCCTAATCTTATTATGGCTATGATCGTGACGGACAGAATTTGAAGTGTTCGTTCATGTCGCTGGAAAGAGAGGAGAGAGAGAGAGAGAGAGGGAGAGAGATTGACTGTTGCTTCAAGATAGACTTGTTTTTGTTGTAATCAACGTTGATGCTTATCGGCCATAAGAGAAATAATTTATGCGCGCGTTATTTTAGATAAATCCTAAGTTTTCTTTTGAATTATATGTAAACTAGAGGAATGGTATTAGAGTTCCATCAAGTATTTCTGCACGGCATCAGCGAAAATGATAAACTTCGTCGTTAATAATATTACCCTACTTAACCCGCTTTACTTAAGCATATAACTATAAAGCTTTGTCCGTCGTTATTGCACAAATTATGTTATTATGTATGGAAATGGAAGTTTATAGAGCGTTAGATTAGGAAGTTGAGAAACGGCATGGAACAATACGTCGGTGATTATAATGCGTTCGTTAAACGTCGAAGTTTACATAAATGAGAGGAACTCTCTCTCTATATTCTGCATAATCACTGAAAGATTATATAGCTATCGATATACTTATATATCGATAATTTTATAAGTTCTTCATTTCCGCATTAAACTGCACTAGTCTTCTTTCTCGTTTTTGTCAAATATCAAACATTATATCTTTTATTATATCTTTCATTATATCTTTTATTATAATATTTTACTTTAAGTTCCAAAAATTATATTTACCTATAGAAAACAGATTTATTTTTTAAATATAATTATATATACCAAATAATTATTTGGTTTAAATGATTATTGATACAAAATAATTGTGTTTGGTTTTAAATTCTAGTTTTGAATAACAAACATGCTTATACCAAGTCATCGTTTAAATAAGAATACAATTTTTGTTGCTTAATTCGCGGAATATATTGATATCTTATTTAATATTTTTTATCTTATTATCTTTAATTTTTGTCACGTCGCCGATGTTTCCCCAAGATAAGCGATATTCTATTTAACTCTACTAGTACCTCTTTAATATGACATACAATTTATACATCTCGAAATTTTTCCATTTTAGTTAAGAAACACAGCCCTAACTTAATATCCTCCTTTTTGAGAGTGAATTTTACTCCAAGAAAAGTGATAGTTGCGCCAGCAAGAGCGAATTTCATTTTACTTCTTCAAGGAGTGAATTTACTCAACTTTAATGATTAATATCTCGCTTGACGAGGCAGAGCGACATTTTTTGTGATAGATTTATTCGTTTTGTGCAAAAACAATGCGTCTAATTTCGTCAAGCTTAGATGTAGGGGGATTAAACTTAATGTTTACCTTTAGTCTCTCCTTCCGGAGAGTGAAATTATTCACTCTTTGGAGAGATTGAAAATTGATTCCTATTTAGAGTGTAGTGTACATGGCTTTTATTTTTTTAAATCGATATTATTGCACTATACAGATTTATTCGCGATTAAACGAATCGTGAAGCGATACATCATGATCAATACGTCGTAATTTTTTGTAATTATGAATAAGCAATCACAAGAAGAATGTATAGGAAATAGATTGTATAGATACCCAGATAAAGGCGAATTCCGCGTCATTAGCAGGGGATCGTGCCTTTTGAGCGGAATTACTGGCGGCACACGACACTGGTTTGCAAGTCCCGGTCTACTCATTACAAGCTCGACCTGCTTGCCGGTCACGCACTGCATCCTGTTACATCACGTGCGTGCGGTATTGCATGTATTACTCGTTGCGTGCGCTGCCAACCCTCGTTGCCAGTGTCACTATTGTGATATCATGTTCATGTCGTACGCGGACGGCCAAGTCAGATAATAATGTGTACTCAGATCAAATACTCTACCATCCGTGATTATTTTTGCACGGAGCTGTAAAATATACCGCAATTACATCTCGCATGCAGCGACATTTTTTCTACGTTATTACCGCATGTAACATTTTTATCGTTTTTAATTGCTGCATCAGATAGGATCTGATTGCTGAATCAGATTTCATAAACATCTCCTGACCGAGAATAATCAGTGTCATTCCCAGATTTGGAAATGGTAGGAAGAGC